TGTGGTAGAAGAAGGTCATCGAAATAGGGGAGCCTCGTCATGCCCGAGATATGAGTCCACATATGCTGCTCACCATATCCCACAAAACCACCTTCTTCATTGGGCACGAGAGCACCTATCTGAGCATGAACCTCGGCACCATTCATCATCCGCGGTGCAGGGTTTGTCACTTTGACACCTTTCGTAAAGTTCTTGATGTCTTGTCTGAATGGATGGTCAAGAGGTAGGAATTGACGATGTCTGTCAAACGACGAATACTTGCCACCCTTCTGCAACCAAATAAACCTCACACCTTCCTTGCATATTGGGCATGGGAACTTCCTGTGAACACACCAGGCGCAGAATATCCCATACGCCAGGAAGTCATGCAGGGAGTAGTGGTACCAAACTTGCATTTTGAAGGTTGTCTTTGTAGCACGATCGTATGTCCATACCCCTTTGTCCCAAGCACAGACCAATTCATCAAACACGGGCTCCATGAACACACCCATATTACTCCCTGGGTGTCCAGAAATTATCAACGACAAGAATACGTTATGTCGTTGAAAGGAGACACTGGAGGGAGATTAAGGGGGATAACAAAGACGGGCCAACACGTGTATGGGGCAGCCATCATTCCATAAGGATTGAACCCATCTGTTGCCAACGCGACACGTACATTACGAGCCTCATCTGCTTTGTCACGATGTTTGTCATTAAAGCGGATCCAAGCTTCACCATCGGATGGATGTACCATCTTGTCAGGATTGTACCGTTTGCCATTTTTGTGCCATGTCATCTGTTTTGCGGATTCCTCGATCATGTATAGCCATTGGATCCTCGGTAGGAACGGAAGGTACCGTAGGATTTTCATGGGGATCGTAAGTTGCCTCTTCTGGCCATCATCAGAGTCTACCTCTAGGTACTTGGAGGATTTACACTTTGGACAGAACTTTGCATGCTCGTGTTCTTTCATAAATAGGATGCACCCTTTCGGACAAGCATGTATCTGCTGATACGGCATCTTAAGTGCTCGAAGGAGTTTCTGTGACTCGTACATGCTCTTTGGTAGAATGTGGCCCTCCGAAAGCAGGGTGCCAATCACGGCCAACATCTTATCAAAGCCAGGTCGACTCAAGTTTAACTCGGACTTCAACCCCATTAAGCGTCCAATGGCATCCAGTTGAGACACCGTTGACCGATCGTGAAGGGGTTTCTGTGCCGAGTCCATCATATCGTAGAACGCCTGTGCGGCTGCCTCCGTCTCCTCCTTACGTCCCTCATCGAACTATCCTTGGTGAAAGTCATCTAACATGTCTGCTACCCCAGCACCAGCATCAAAAGCCTCCACCCGTGGTCTCACCACCTCCTCTCTCATACGATGGGCTTCACCATGGTGGACCCACCGGGTGTAGTCCGGCGTAAATCCATTCTTCATAAGATGTTTACCCATTTCCACCTTGTTTACCCTTCTCCTGTTTCCACATTTGCCGCAGGGACACAAAACTAGGCAATGTCCTTTAGCAGCGTTGCCAAATGCACTGTTTAAGAAAGCATCGGTCTTGTTCATCCATTCCGTGGTGTAATCACTCTGACTTCTCCAGCCCGTGTACATCCACTGACGGTCATCCATCCTCTAACACATGTATCGGCGAGTAATGTAACCATCAATTGCATCTACATGGTGTTCCTATTGTCTAATAGGTGAGGATAGGTCCTAATCCCACCCGCAGATGCGTAGATGAGGTTAGTTTCCATGCTCTACTCCTATCTGAGATAGAATTTCGATAGCACCTCCCCGCTGTTCTCCAGATACACGTCCTGCCAAAGAAGAGTGTGTATCCGGAGAACAATAGGGAGGTGATGCCAAAACTCTGTCTCGGACCAGAGCAGAACATGGGAACTAACCCATCTACGCATCCGCGGGCTGTCCAAAAAGCGTGGACAATCCGAAATAGATACGGTCATAGATATGCAAAGATCTGCATACCTCCAACCGTATATCTTTCGAACGGGAGACGCCTAACTAGGTTACTCGATCTACGACAATGATACGAAAAGAGGCGTTATACCTAGGGTGGCAGCGGAGTCAGGCTAGTGGGGCCATGGCGGGTCGGTGCAGTGGTGAGACGACGCGGTGCAGGCAGACCGGCATGGTGGCGAGAACTCTGACTCAACTCCGACGGGCTCTTCTTTACAAAAATGGAACAAAATACTGTCATTTACAAAAAAATTCGGCAGAACCTCCCCTGCACGGTGAGGTTTCCAAAACCTGCAAAAAACAACGGCACGATGGCCGACAAGCACATATGGCTCAACAGAAGCCATGTAGTTTGGATATCAATCCATGCAGAAGAATATATCCAAGTAGTACCACTACTTGTACTACTACTTTCACTATTGCTACTACTACTACCATTGGTTCTTCTACTACTACCACTATTGCTACAACTACTACCATTAGTTGTACTACTACTACTACCACTACTTCTACTACTACTACCACTAATTCTACTACTAATACTACCACTAGTTGTACTAATACTACCACTAGTACAACTAATACTACTACAACTACCACTACCTCGACAATAATAAGTGAGAAGGCACCTGACGGGCGATGGTGCAGGGGCGGGCGACGTCGGGATCGGGCGGAGTCGACGACGGGGTCGAGCACGGACGACGTCGGGGCGAGCGGTCCACGAGGCGCTGTCGGGCAAAGGCGGCCAGAAAAAAGCAAAGGGCGCGGGCGCAGGTCGGCCTTGGGGGGCGGCTGCGCGTCGGGAAGGGCAACCGGGCACGGCTGCGGTGCACGGGCACGGGCGCGGCAGGGAAGGGGGACGGGGAGCCTGTGGCGCGCCGGGCACAACAATGGCCGGTGGTAGGGCGCGGTCAGTCATGGGCGTGGCGCGTGGGAAGGGTCGACGAGGGCACGGGTGTGGCGGCCGGGACGTGCGGCAGGACGAGGGCACGGCCGCGCGCTGGCGTATGTATGTGTGTGAGCATGGTGTGTGGCCGAGCGGCGTGGTGTGTGGTGCGGGTGGCGCGCTGACGAAAGCAATGCGCGTGTGGGCGGGTAATGTGGCGGGGTGGGAAGCGGTGGCGCAGCGTGGTGGGCCGGCTGGTGTGGATCGCCCGACCGGCCAAAAACCACTAAGTCGGGCCCGCTGGTTTTGCTTGAAGTGCCAATCGGGAGACACTCGGCAAAGATTTGTTTTTTTTTAAATTTCTTTGCCGAGTGCCCCAGATCTGGCACTCGGCAAAGATTTTAATTTTTTTTTAAAAAATTCTTTGCCGAGCGTCTCAGATCTGGCGCTCGGCAAAGAATTTTTTTTTATTGATAGTCATGTTAGTGAGTGTTGTGAGAGGCCGTATCCAGGAACGGACCCGAAATTTCGGACATCTTGTTCACGAAACATATCCGCGAAATTGCGTGTGAAGTGTTTTTAAATTCTATAAAAAGCAAACGAAGTCCGAAAATTATGAAAATTAATGAGATGTCGCGATATCATATGTGGAGGCTATGATAAAAATTTCAGAAGATTTCATGCACGTTGTCTCGTACGATACTTACAAACCAGGACATCTCTACATGTGAGCATCATACGTGACAACGTGCACGAAATCTTCTGAAATTTTTATCATAGCCTCCACATATGATATCACGACATCTCAACAAGTTTCATGATTTTCGGACTCCATTTGCTTTTTATAGAATTTAAAAACACTTCACACGCAATTTCGCGGACATGTTTCGTGAACAAGATGTCCAAAATTTTGGGTCCGTTCCTGGATACGGCCTCTCACAACACTCACTAACAGGACTATCAATTTTCGAATCATTAAACTCCATTATTCGTACCACGTGCAGTTCAAATTTCTAATTTTTAGAAAAATTCAAGTAGACGAAATAAAGTAACTAAATATAACAAAAAGCCACAAAAAATCCCCAAATTGTAACTAGGAGTTTCTGGTGCTTTAAAAGGGCTGCACAAAAAATTGGAGGCCAAAAACAAAAAAACAAAAAAAACTTTGCCGAGTGCCGGGGCATAGCACTCGGCAAATGGTGTCTTTGCCGAGTGCCAGCCATCAGGCACTCGGCAAATAATGTTTTAATTTTTTTTTAAAAGTTCCTCTTTGCCGAGTGCATCCACAGGAGCACTCGGCAAAGAAATAATAATAAAAAATTAAATCTTTGCCGAGTGCCGTCCCAGGGACACTCGGCAAAGTATTTTAAAAATAAAAAAAATTTCTTTGCCGAGCGCCAGATCTGAGACGCTCGGCAAAGAATTTTTTTTTTAAAAAAAATTAAAATCTTTGCCGAGTGCCAGATCTGGAGCACTCGGCAAAGAAATTAAAAAAAAAATAAATCTTTGCGAGTGCCTCCCTGATCCGGCACTCGGCAAAGAAGGACGTGACCGGACGCCATTTTCACGGGCAGCCTATGCCGAGTGTTGAGATTTTGCCGAGAGTCTGGCGCTCGGCAAAGAAGTCCTTTGCCGAGTGCCCGTGTTTGCCGAGTACAATTCTTTGCCGAGTGCAGCACTCGGCAAAGAAGGTCTTTGCCGAGTGCCCGATTTTTGACACTCGGTAAAGAATTTTGCACTCGGCAAAGTCTCTGTTTCCAGTAGTGTGGTGTCTAGAACGTACCTGAACAATAAATTACTAGTGAGGTCAACGTGGCCTCACGTAGAATATGTGCCATGCCCAATACAACACGCATTCATACACACACTTCTTGTACTGTCCCGAATCCTAGCAGTTAATTTCGTTACTACTATAACAATCAGTTAGCAACTTCCCATTATTTTCTTTTTGACACCTTAAAAAAACATACATAGTGCATTCTTAGCTATTGTTAACTGGCATGATGTCCGCGAGTTGTCCTCCTGAAATATTTCATTCACTTCATCCGATACAGGAGAAAATAACAAGCTGTCCGGGCCTTTCTAAAACTATCTCAATAACATATATATACTCCTATACCTGGCGCTTCAAAGCACGTTAACCAAATTTCAAACATGGCTGCCATGTTATTCCTGATCCTGGCGCTCATGATCTCCTTCCTCGCTACCCCCGTTGTCTACTCCGATCGCCCTGCCGCAGGCTTCCGTGCCACCATGATCCGCACCGAGAAGGCCATCAACTTCACGCAGGCCGCGCGCAGGTCTCACGAGCGCATGTCCATGCTCGCCGCCAGGCTCGACGCGGCCTCCGGCTCCGGGCGCGTGACGACGCAGGCACCGCTGCAGGTGGACGGTGCCGGATACGAATACAACATGGTGCTGTCCATCGGCACGCCGCCGCAGAAGCTGCTGGCAATGGCCGACACGGGCAGCGACCTCTCCTGGATCAAGTGCGGCGCGTGCAGCAACTGCACCCCCGAGGGCCCCTCATACTACCCCGGCATGTCGACGTCGTTCTCCGTGCTGCCCTGCTCCGACCGTCTCTGCCGCGCGCTGATGAGCGCCGCCGCGACCTGCGGCTTCGGCGGCGCGGAGTGCGAGTACATCTACGGCTACGGCCTTGAGGCTGATCCCCACGTCTACACAAGGGGTTTCCTCGCGAACGAGACCTTCACGCTCGGCGACGACCGCGTGTTGGGCGGCCAAGCCGTGCCGGGCGTCGGCTTCGGCTGCACCACCGTGTCCGAGGGCATCTACATCTACGGCGCGAGCTCTGGCATCGTCGGGCTCGGCCGCGGGCCGCTGTCCCTTGTCTCGCACCTCAACGTTGGCGCCTTCTCGTACTGCCTCAGCGGCGGCTCCATGACGAGCCCGCTCTTGTTCGGCTCCCTCGCCGTCCTGGCGGGCGCCGGGGTACATTCGACGCCGCTCCTCGCCGGCACCGGCACCTACTACTCTGTCAGCCTGGAGCGCATCTCGGTCGGCGACGTGACGACCATCGGCCCCGGGAGGAGTGGCTACGGCATGGTGCTCGACTCCGGCACGACGTTCACGTACCTCGTGGAGCCGTTCTACATGCTGGCCAGGGCGGCCGTGCTGAACCAGACGACGCTCGCCAGGGTGCCCGACAGGTACGGCTTCGAGGCGTGCTTCCAAGCGTCCGGCGGCGGTGTCTGGGACGTTTTCCCGGCGATGGTGCTGCACTTCGACGGCGCCGACATGGCCCTGCCAACGTCGAGCTGCTTTGGGCAGATCGATGACGACGGCGTCATATGTTGGATGGTGCAGAGATCGCCTAGTCTGTCCATCATTAGCAACGTCATGCAGAGGGACTACCATATACGGTATGACGTCGACGAGGGTGTGGTGTCATTCCAGGCGGCCAGATGCGACAACCTATGATGGACGAGGGACCGAGTTCGTCCTCACAGAATATACAGATACATGCATCCTTGAACTACCTGTTAAAGTAGCACTCGAGTGTTCTGGAGCAATCCTTTCTCTCCCCCTCTTCTTCTCCAAATCTAGCGGCCTTAAAAGAATTTTTTTGGGAGGCAGGCTGGCCAAGCAGTCGGGGCGGGAGCGGGAGAGATGAAGGCGAGGCAGAGGCGACGGTGACACCGCCGGAGCAGGCAGCGGAGGAGGCGGCCAGGCTAGGTTAGGGCGGTGGTGGCCATAGTCATGACGGCGGCAAGGGGAAGAGGGGAAGAAGGAGGTTGCCACGGTCGCGGTAGGGTCTCGCCGGAGCTCCACGGCCGCAGCCGCCGGCGAGACCCTACCACGGCATGGCAGGGTGGTGGGCGGCAACAGCGTGACGGAAGTAGTGGTGGAACTAGGGGGGCTAGCAGGGGCCAAGGCCCCCCTAACATCTGATAAATTGTTAAATATCTTTGCTGAAATCACTGTAGCACTAATAATTTTCAAGTTAAAAAGAGGTTGAATGTGTTTTTCCTTGTGTTGCCTTGGTCTTGGCCCCCTGAGTTCATTGTCTGGTTCCGCCTCTGGATGGAAGAGAGGAAGAAGATGCAGTAGAAAAGAATCTGAGTGTGGAAATGAAAGAGCTCAAAACACTTGAGTGACAAAAAGGCAGATTCTTGTAAACACGAGGGGGATTATCCTCTATTGAAAAATACAATTGACAAAAAGAAACAACAGTTTACGCAGGTAGGTTCCCGAAAACAAAAAAAAAAGTAAGAAAGGAATATGAGATCTAACTACAAATACTCTAACCAGAGTGGAGCATAATCTCCCTACACTTTTCTTTTGAGAAGTTCTCTTGTATTCAACCTGTCCTATATAAAAGTTAGGCTAGAAGAAAACTTTGTGTTTGTGTTGACATGAATATTTCCAAAGCCATTTCAAAGCCTTGTGAACTGTTGTCCGACAACTTGAAGATCTATGTATATTGAAGAGAACACCGAATGTAAGTCCACTGATCACACTCTAAGGTAATTGGTAATTCAAGCAACAGCTGTTCTAATCCCTAAAATTGATGAAAAGCGTGCACTGACAAGGGCAAATGGAATAGGCGGTGCAGAGCATCCCTGATTTTTTTTTCTCAAATTAAGGTAATTGGTACTTTGAAATGACATAGATGTACATTAACCAATTGTTGCACATTCCTGTGTATCAAGGTAGTAAGTAATCATGTTTTCTCTCCTTTTCAGGTCTTCTTGTGTAGCATCAGAAGAGGAGGCTACTCCATGCATAGCAGTAAGGTAAGCCAGCTCCTCTCTCTGTGTGTTGACTGTAATGCAGCAAGCAAATTAAATAGTGAAGGATGGGAACTAGTCCAAACTTTTGTTTGCCTGACTGATGAAATCTTAAGATACAAGTATCAGCTCTACAAACTGAATTAAGATAGCAAGCAAATTAAATTTGTTAATCTACAAACTGTCCCATCTCACTCTCCTTGTAAGTTGTACATTGGAACCAGTAACTTTATTAGATTACTCATTCTATCACTTTTTTCAGGAACTTCTAGCTGCTGCTAGACACAACAGCTTGTCAACAGCAAGCCGATCATAGTCCTAATAGATGTGCAGCCAAACAATCCATTTTGAGCATTTGCCCAAGATGGCTGCCATGGACAGCATGAGCTATGTTAAACTAGGATTAACATTGTGTTCATCAGCTAGGATTAGTGATGCTATTAATCATCAGCTGTACGTTCAAACAAGGACTAGTATGATTTTCAGTGACATTACATATATATATGTACTTGTTAGATAAATGAATGTGTATGGTTACTGGGATCTTTTTTTTATGTCATCCTAAATCTGTGTACATAATTTCAATATTGCATTGGTCTTGAATGTTTGATCCAATGTATACGAGTTTTTAGATATGAAAGAGTTTTATTTTTTTTAATCTTGTTGAATTGAGATCGATGGATTGTTAGGCCCTGTTCGCTTCGCTGAAAAAACAAGCCGAAGCACTGTTCCGGCTGATTTGTCATGAGAGAAAAATATTGTTCCAGCTGAAAAAACAAGCTAAAAAGTACAGATTATAAGACCAGCGAACACGACCTTAGTTGCTAAAAGGTCTTTATACCGTTGAACTATTGGTCGCTAAAAGTGGTAACGAGATGTTGGTCGCTAAAAGTAGCACCCACTACTACAAATCTGACATTCACTACAAGCTCCATCACTACCGATTTTTAAGAAACCGGCAGTGATAGTGTCTCCCGGCACATCACTGCCGGTTTTTGGTTAAAACCGACAGTAATAAGACCAACCGATCTTGATATTGGGTCATCATTGTCGGTTCTTGGCTAAAATCGACATTGATACTATTACTGTCGGTTTTAGCCAAGAACCGACAGTGATATTGGGTCATCATTGTCGGTTTTTTGGACCAACGGTGATAGGCTGTACGAAAAACTTCATAACTTTCTAATACGATGTCCGATGAAGACGATTTTTATATGAAAGTTGTAGTACTCGACGAGATTTACAACTTTGTAGTCCAAACTTTTTTTTATTTGAGATGGTTTGGATGTCCAAATATATACCATAATTTTTATAGAGTTAATACTAAAGGAATCCATATGCTCCATAGTCATCGGTGAGTGTGCAGTGATAGTTAAGGATCTCGGATGGGGAAGCGCCCAAAACAAAAGTTCTAGATCTAAAGAAGTTATGCAATTTTATAGTTCACAAATAATTTGTTTGAAGTCATTATGATGCCCCTCTATTTGATTCGCAGGATTTTATAAAAGTTAACACCAACTAAGGCCACATGTTCCATAGTCATAAATGAGTGTGTAGTGATATTTAAGTATCTCTGGTGGAGAAGCGACCAAAGCAAAAGTTATAGATCTCAAAAAGTTATGCAACTTTGTTGTTGACAACATTTTCATTTGAAATCATCTATGTATCGAAAATTTCGTTTGATTTATCAAATTTAAAATTTAAATTTTTCAAATGACCTCTGACGGAGAAACGCTTAAAACAAAAGTTGTAGATCTTGAAAAGTTATGTAACTTTGTAGTTGACTTTTTGATTTGAAATCATCTATCTATCGAAAATTACGGTTGAATTTTCTCACATATGAAATTCGAATTCTTCAAATGACGTCGGATGGAGAAATGACCAAGACCAAAGTTGCGGATCTCGAAAAGTTATAAAACTTTGTCATTGACAACGTTTTCATTTGAAATCATTTAGGGTCCTAAATACTCATTTCAAAATCAGATGAACATAAAATGACTAGGATGGATATCTCATTTGGACACGGGGTCTTAGAGGTGTAGTGATTAGGGAACAAACATGCAAAGCAGGAGGTCAGGGTTTCGAGTGCTTGTGGCCGCAAGGCATGCGTTTTTCGTGTGAAAAATCGCATGACTTGTGACTTGCGATGTGCAACCGTGTGGCTGTCCAGTGGGGTTTCTCCCCCATGATAAAAATAATTCCCTATTTTTCTGCCCATTTTTTAGATTTTCTGGAAACCACATCAGTGTTGGTCTTTTAGAGTTGGCAGAGATGTGTACCCCTCATCACTGTCGATTTGGTTATGTCAGTTTAAAATCCAGCTGTAAAGGGGGGTTTTGAACCGATACTGATGTGGATATCTGGGGTATTGACCGTCAGACTGTAAGTCAGTAAAGATCATGTCCATTGCTATTTACTTATAGCGACGCCTTTAGTAGCAAAAGCAAGGGTCCATCACTATAAGATTTAGTAACTAACTGTCTATCGTTGTATAGGCCTTTTAGCAACCCCAAAGGAGTCGTTGATTTAAGGTTGTGGTGTAGTGCTTACTTAGCATTGATCTTGCCATGTCAATCACAGTCCTATTCTTTCTCTCAATAAGGTCATTTGATTGTGGAGTGTTCTTGGTCGAGAATTGATGTCTAATTTTAAATCCATCACACAAATCTTCAATTCTTGTATTCTTATATTCTTGAACTCACTACCATTGTCACTTCCTACTTTCTTGATAGTTGTTTCAAATTCATTGTGACATCTCCTGATGAATGACTTGAATGTAGCAAACATATCACTCTTGTCAACTAGAAAGAATACCCAAGTGTATCTAGTATGATCATCCACTATCACAAAGCCATACTTATTGCCACTAATGCTAGCATATTGTGTTGGTCTAAATAAGTCCATGTGTAACAACTCAAATGCCTTCGATGTGCTCATTATGCTCTTCTTAGGGTCACTCTTACCAACTTGTGTACCCGCTTGGCAAGAGCTACACAACTTATCCTTCTCAAATACTACATCCTTTAAGCCCTTAACCAAGTCATGCTTAATCAATCTATTCAATTGTTTTATTCCAACATGACCAAGCCTTCTATGACATAACCAACTCATGCTAGACTTACTGAACAAATAGGTTGACAATTAAGCTTCACTAGCATTGAAATCAACTAAGTATAGATTCTCATGTCTAAAGCCTATGAAGATGAAGTTAGAGCCATCTACACTTATGATCTCTACATCATCCACACCAAATATGCACCTGAAACCAAGATCACATAAGTTGAGCTACCGATAGCAAGTTGAAGTTCAAACTCTCTACTAGCAAGACATTTGATATGCTCATGTCATTGGATATAGCAATCTTACCAAGTCCTTTGACATTGCCTTTGCCATTATCACCAAATGTGATACTATCATAACCATCATTGCACTTGTGTTGATTGAGTTGAACATTCTTGCATCACCGGTCATGTGTTGTGTGCACCCACTATCAAGCACCCAATGCCTTCCTCTAGATTTGTAATTGACCTACAAGAGAAGATCAATTCTTTTTAGGTACCCAAATTTGCTTGGATCCTTGAAGGTTAGTGACCAAGCTCCTTGGTACCCAATTGCTTTCTTCTTTGAGCCCACAATGGATGTACCAACGAATTTAGCTTGCACACCATTGACACCCTTGGTAAGCAAATA